TTGAGTTTCTTTTGAATTAATTTTTTTTTCCTCCTTGTTTTTACCCTTAAAAATAACAGGAATGACAAATCCGGTCTTCCCTGGATTTGTCTGAGAATTTCTTGAGGCTCAGAGATGTTCATTATAAATTCTCACACCTCAATTGTTACAGGCAGGCTTCCAAGTGTTCATTAGGTATTAGAGTTTTAAATGTGCTTTAAAAAAAAACAGAAAAGAAATAGTTTTAAATAATCTAACTACAAATCCCTCCCCCTCTCAACATGTCAGGTTTCCCTGTGTGCTTTAATGTGATGTCATAATTGAACTAGTTCTTTAGATACTGATGAGTTTTCCAGAGTAGACAAGACATAATTTCTAACGTAAAAACCAAGTTGAATTTTTTTTTAAACAAAAAGACTGAGGTTTCTTTATAAATCATTTAAAAAAAAAACAAAAAAAAACCCCAAGCACACTAGCCCAATTTCTTACCCACCCCTCTTTACAGATCGTGTTGAAAAGGAACATGATCCTAGGCCCACTGACTTCATTGAGGCCAGGATTTCACCCTAGGTACCTAATGTTATATGCTTTATGTGGTATTCTGTCTTGTCCAAATTCCCTTTTTTTCCCTCTAAACACTGGCAAAGACTCATTTTAAAATCAAGCCAAATTCTGTTCTCAGTTACACTAGTGAATTGACTTTACCAGGGTTGTCCTGATGTAAGAAAACAGAATTTTGCCCATACTGCTTAGATGTTTGCACAAAAGATTGCTTCGCTCACATATAAATTATGGCTGTTATTTGGAGTGTCTTCTCCATCAGTGGCAGCCAACAATGCTGAGTAAGGGACATCTGACAGTAAAATCTGTTTTGTTTTAAATCTGGATTTACATTAGAGACAACACTCCCCAAATGCTTACTCACTCAGATTGCAGCAGTAAGAGTTAGTCAACAGTTCAGCAGGCTGGTAGTTTTGACTAAGTTCTGTTTCTGGTAACAAATCCTTAGACACATCTCTATATTGCAGATTCATAAAGCGATCTGTTCTCCCTCTCCCCACCCCCAACAATAAGAACAGGAAAATGTTTCGACAAACCATCTACCATTATTCCAGCTTCCTCAGTCCATGGAACAACTCTTTTGTCTAGATGAAATCTAGCAGCTAGTCAACATTCTTGTATATTAAGATAGCAACTGACTTCTATGTATTGGGATCAAAACACTAGTTTACTACAAGGGTTACTGAATCAGAGTTCTTAAAGGGCTATCCACCCGCCCAGAAAAAAAAATCACACTGATTTTTGGGCTTTTTTCATATTGTCAGAAATAACAGCTAAGATTACTATAATGGAAAGAGATTAGAGAGGGGAATGATATTTTTGTTTGCAGTTTGTTAACTTTGTGCCTTTGACAGCACTTTGCGTATGGTCAGATTCATCGTCATTGTTTCCCAGGTGCAGTTTCCCTGTTATTTGGGCAAATCTCTCCCACAGTAACAGGGGAGAGAATTTCATTTATTTATTTATTTATTTATAATTAGGAAATTGCGATCCTAAAACCACAAGAATTGGCAGGGAAATTCAGGCAGATGCATTATCTGAAGCGACTTTCAAGTTTTTGAATTAAAAGTTTCAAAATGAATGTCCCTAGGACATTTTGGCTCTCTCAATATTGTTATTAATTGAATTTTGGTAGCACCCAGGGGCCCCACCATGCTCAGCCTTCTATAATTACACTGAGTAAAAGAAAAGGAGTACTTGTGGCACCTTAGAGACTAACCAATTTATTTGAGCATGAGCTTTCGTGAGCTACAGCTCACTTCATCACTACAGCTGTAGCTCACGAAAGCTCATGCTCAAATAAATTGGTTAGTCTCTAAGGTGCCACAAGTACTCCTTTTCTTTTTGCGAATACAGACTAACACGGCTGTTACTCTGAAGACTGAGTAAAAGACAATCCCTGCCCAGAAGAGTTTACAATCCAAGGCTCCGACCCTGCAACATTAGAGAAATGCTTAAACTTTACCATGAGTCATTCCATTGATATCAGTGGGACTATCATAGTAGTAAACAGGGCATCATTTGTTATGGGACAAGGGAGGCAATTGCCTGCCACCAGACCTTGGTCCCCCACACAGACTTGTCCGGGATCTATATGCGCCAATATATCGTCCACTCTATCCTGCCCAGACTTTGCAGGATATGATATAATCACATATAATGTTCTATATACTGACACAACTTTGGCCTCCTTCTCCCCCTTCCATAATAGTTCTGAAATGATGCCCCTAGCAGTAAAGCTAAGTGCAAGCATGATGGCAGAATTGGGGGCCTAAATAGACAAGACATACAAGGGGTGGTGGAAGGCAACAGAACATACAAGCGGAGCTAACAGAGTGATGGTTCACAAACAACATGTTAGTGCCATGATTTTTTGTTAGTTTATTATGATTTTTATGGGGTGTTGTTGATTGTACATTGTATTATATCCATTAAAGCTGTTGGGGGGGGAGAGAAGAGA